TTTTGCATTTTCTTTTATTCTCCTGTTGTTGTTGTTGTTAAGGGCTGTCGAGTCGGTTCCGACCCATAGCGACCCTGTACAGGGTTTCCGAGGCTGTAAATCTTGACGGGAGCAGAAAGGCTCATCTTTCTCCTGCGGGACAGATGGTAGTTTTGAACTGCTGACCTTAAGGTTCGCAGCCCGATTTGTAACCACTACGCTACCAGAGCTCCTTTTTATGCTTCTTATTGTAGTTAAGTGTTGTCAAGTCAGTTCTGACCCATAGTGACTCTGTATAAGGTTTCTGATGAGTTGCTGGAACTGCTGACATTGCAGTTCAAGTTGATTTGCAGTCTAGTGCATTAACCCACAGCGCCACTCCAGGACTCCATGCTTGGCACATAGTAAAACCAAACCCGTTTGTGTCGAGCTGATTCCTACTCATGGGAGCCTCATTAATCATGGAGTAAAATCGTGTTGCACAAGGTTTTCTTGGCTGTAGTCTTCAAGGAAGCAGCTTGTCAGACCTTTCTTTTGGGTAGGTTTGAACCAACCTTTCAGTTAGTAGTGGGGCACAAAATACAGGACAAACAGGGACCTCTTAAGCAAAACAAAACACTTTCCTCACTGCCATCGAGAAGGTTGTGACCTATAGTGAAACTTTATAACAGAGCAGAATTGCCATAACAGGTTTCCAATGCTGTGGTCTTTATGGGCAGACCACCACATCTCTTTCCCTCAGAGCAGCTGGTGAGGTGGAATTGCCCACCTTTCAGTTAGCAGTCCAGTGCTTAACCACTATGCCTCCAAGGTTCCTGAGGGACATCTTGGTGGTGGTGGCTGTGTGCTGTGGAGTCGCTTCCGACTCATAGTGACCCTGTACAGGGTTTCCAAGACTGTAAATCTTTACGGGAGCAGAACGCCTCATCTTTCTCCTGCGGAACAGTTGGTATCTTAGGGAGTTCCAAAAAATAAGTGACTGGAATCTTGGAAGTGACCTCTGACTTCAACCCTGCAAGTCATAGCCTGCAGAACACTGACATCTTCTGCCCTGCATCTACCTTCAGCTAAGCAACAGTCTCCCAGGATAAAAAGAGCAAGGAACCCTGGGAGTAAAGACATATCATCATTTTTGCTAAACCAGCACAATTTCAGGCTGTGAGCTGATAACCAAATAGTGTTAACAGGATTTTAAAACTATGTGATTCCTGGGAGGGAAGGAGGAGGGGCTATCCTGAATGAGGAGCATACAGTGCATAGAATATTCTTGGTAGAAGAGCTAGCCTTCTGCTACACTGCCCTCAGTCTCCTGCCTGGAACACCCTTCAAGAGGTACTCAGGCTTCTACTGGACTTGGGCCCATCAGAGCTGAAACCTTCCTCCTTCTAGTTAGAATTAGTATTGTGTTTTGTGAGTACTATTGGTATTTCTGGGTGCTCATTTGATCTGAGTCACTGCATGTGAGCTTCTATCAGAGTGGGTTCTGAACTCTTGCAGGACCTCTGAACTTGAGCGTATTGGGATACAATCTAGGTACCTGGGCTGGGTCTGGAAAGATGGATTTGCACTTCTTTTCTCTCCCAGAGGTTTGTTTGATTAGTGCTGTAAATGCCTGAGCTGACAGAGCACTAGGACCCTTTCCATGGAAGACTTCTGTGATCTTTAGTCACGACTCTCCACCCCTAACCCACCATTATTGGATCTACTTACGGTCACGGCACTAGCGTTTACCATCAACTGTCCCAGCCCCAACAGAAAGATCAGGGCCACATCCCTGCACCAGCCATCCTCCTTCCCTGCCCAGCACCCTGTCTCCCAACAGTCCATGCTACAACCCTATGAGCCCCACTAGGGCATGGCTCTAATAGGTGTTTTACAAAGTGCATCTTGTTGGGAGTCAGAAGGCTCACAGAGATGTAAATTCCACTCAGTCACCAAATTCTCTGGCACCTTAGAAACATTTCTGGGCATCCCTTTTCTCAGTTCTTGAATGGCAATGATGGAAGGGAAATTCCATGACATGCTATAGAGGGAACATTTCTACGGATAGTAGAAGGTCAACAGACCCAAATCTATTGCCAACAAGTTGATTTTGCGTCAGAGTGACCCTACAGGACAAAGTAGAACTGCTACATAGAGTTTTCAAGGATATCATATTTATGGAAGCAAACAGCTTCATCTTTCTCCCAAGGAACATCTGATGGGTTCCAAATGCAGGCAACCTTTCAGTTACCAACCCAACATTTGGTGATTCACTGTGCCACCGAAGCTCCTATGTCAACAGAAAGCCTCATAAAAGTATTTCTGCCTTGCCCTCTGGATTTGGAAGAGGAGTGGCACTTTCTGCAGCTCATTGTACAGCCTGAGGTGGGGCATGGACCAGGCAAAGGGCAGGCCTGGCTGGAGCTGCCCAAACATAGTCAAGGTGACTCACTTCCCTGATAGATAGCACTGCTGAGAAAAACACAGGCTCATTCTTGCCTCTTGCTCAGGTACACTGCTGGAGATGGAAGACATCTGGAAACAGCAACAGGAAAAGAAAAGAGAAAATGTCTCCAAATTCAGGTTTTTCCTTTTGAAGTTCAGAAAGAGTTGGGCAGAAAAATTAACAGCAACAAAAACAAAGTCACCTGAATTTTGGCTCTATAGAGACAAGGAGTGGGCTGCAAGCCCAGACTTTTATGGTGAATGTGACCTTGGGCAAGTTCCTCATGTTCTCTAGAACTTAAACCTGTTTCCTCTTCTGTGGCTGTGCTATACTCATTCTGACCTCTGGTGACGCAGTTTGGTTTCTAACTGCCAGGTCAGTATTTCAAGCCCACCAGCCTCTCTTGGGGAGAATATGGCTGTGTGCTCCTGTCAAGATTTCATCTCAGAAACAGAGCAGTTTTCCTCTATTTTATAGGGTCGCTCACTACGAGTCTGAATCCACTCTGTGGCTTGATTTTGGTTTGGGGGTGCTAGAGGAAATTTCAATCTGTTCATACAAGCAGGAGAAAGTTAATAATATCAGTTTTTCTCCTCTTCCTTCAGCATGATCTATGGCATGAAGCAGGTTTATTGCGCTTCTTTGTGTTTTCTGGTTTACCTTAATGAATATGTTTTGCTTTTACAATAAGAACAGCCATTTATTTAATGCTGTACAAGGCTGGCTGAATTAGTGAAGGAAGCATGCCCAGCTGTAATAACACATCAGCTCAGGGACAAAGCAGAAATCGTGGCCTTGTCCCTCCTGGCGTATGTGCACAGGGTTCCTTGTGCGCTCCCCTCCACTTGGCCCTACTCTCATCAATTTCAGCTATTTGGGACTTAAATTCTCTTTCATCTTCAGCACTTCAAATGCTGAGTTGATTTTTAAATACAGACCTATTTATATCTCAATGCAAATGAACTATCTATCTAAAAATGCATAGAGAACTTTCAGGAAATAAACAGATTGTCAGCCTAAACAAATGGCTTTTTCCCTTTTGTCAGCTTTTCACAGCATCTGTAGTATGGGGGCCAGATAGATTTGACAACTTCCCTTTTCTTTTCTAAGTGGTTTTCTTGGGCACCTGGGGCAAAGTATAGAGTTCTACCTTCATTCCCAAGCTTTAATGTCTCTTTTCTTGTCGCTATGCGTTGGAACTGACTCCACAGCACATAACAACAACAACAACAACCACCCATTATTTTGAAAGTGATGCAAATACTCCTCAGAACAAAGATTAATCACTGAGAACCTATTGCAGTTATTAAATAGTTCCCGTGGTTATGAGGACTGCTAACCTCAAGGTCAGTACTTTGAAACTACCAACTGTTCCGAAGGGGAAAGATGAGGCTTTCTACTTCCGTAAAGATTTACAGCCTCAGAAACCCTACACAGGGTCACTATGAGTCAGAACTCACTCCACAGTATACCAACAGGTCCTTAATAAAAGGAGGCCTGCTGGTGCTGTGGGATTAGCATTGGATTGCTAACTGCAAGATCAGAGGTCTAAAACTACCAGCCGCTCCTTAGGAGAAAGATGAGGCTGTCTGCTCTCATAAAGATTTCCAGTCTCAGAAACCCTGTATAGGGTTGCTATGAGTTGGAAATCATTCCATGGCAGTGGCTTTTACTTACTGCTTTTTTATTCTTAATAAAGAGTCCCTGGGTGGTACAAATAGCTAACATACTCAGCTATTATTAGAAAGGTTGGAGGTTTGATTTCACCTGAAGAAACGCCTGGTGATCAGCTTTGGAAAAATCAGGCTCTAAAAACCATATGCAGCATTCTGCTCCGACACACCGGGGGTGGCCTCATGTCAGGATCGACTATTTGACAGGCAACTGACTTCTTATTATTATTTTCTATTTTTTAGTTTTCTCATTAATTTTGCTTTGTCCTTTTTGAATTTATATGGGGTTAAATCCATATTGAGGTCTTTGTCCACAATTTCTAAGTCCAGAATGGAGGAAAATGCCACCACCCAGTATAACAGGGAAATCAGACAATGCAAGTGAAAAATAAATCTGATGACCACAGCGAGGCATTAAAAATTAAAAAGTGCAATGCAGAAAGGAGAGGAAGGCAGACAAGAATAATAGAGATGGTAAACAAAACAAAACAATAAAATAACCCACACTTTTTTTTTTTTTTTAAATAACAAAGGAATAATGATTCTGTAATGAGTGGACACAAGACAGCTCTTTTGAGTTGGGGGAAAGTTAATTATATTCAAAAAAGACAGTGTCTCAAGAAAAAACTTTTTTTTTTTTTTTCAGGGAAATATTTTCGTTCCTTCATATAGAGACATATTACACAATGTTAACAACCATGAAAAGCAATACAAAATGCTCTCGATTTAACAAGTAGAAAAATATAACTAGTATATATGGCAATTGTGAATCTAATACTGTACAGAAGGAATTTATGGACTTTACAAATAAATTATAGCTTAAATGCCCTTTTAAAATTCTTTTTTTGTTTAGTTTCTTCTCCCCTAGATGTACACCCAAACTTACAACAGGAAAGGTTCCGAGCCTAGCCAATTGCACATCAGTGCCAGTCAAATGTTCTGCCGACCAACTCGAAGAATTTCTTATTTGGCTCATGGAAATATTCATGCAGTTTATGCAGGAGTTTGGGGTCGACATGAGGATGTGCTCGACCTTTGGACTCGTGCAAGCAGCGATCCCGGCCACTGTCCCGCAGGCAGTAAAAGCCCTTGGTTTTGTTGAAGTAGAAGTTCGAGGCGTGGATCTGAGGAGCCAGCTTCAGGAAGCGCTCGACCTTCTGGATTTCAGGGAAGGGGTCCCTGATGAGCTGGTCGCCATCAACAATGTGGATGTGGCCTAGCGGGAAGAAGCGTAGCCAGTTCTCCATGTGCACGTGGTAGAGGCTGCGGTTGAGCGCCTTGTAGTCCACGTTGAGGTGGCCGTCGCGCACCAGGACTTCCTCGATGGACGGGTAGGGCTTGCGCTTTTGCACGTGATTGTAGAACACTTGGGTGTAGTCAGACAGCACGCGCTCAGAGGGGTCGCGCAGGATGAGCAACAGGCGGATGGCCGGGTTCATGCTGTGGACCCGCGCAGGCACTTTGGGCGATGTAAAGTACGCGGGGGTCTTCTCCACTGTCAGCTGATGTGGTGACGACAGGGGCATCTGGCTGAGGTACCAGCCCAGACCATGTCTGTAGTGCTCTTCCCAGTCAAAGAAGTGCACCTCGTTTTCCGCGGCTGCGACATCTGGATGCAGACTGAGCATTTCCAGCAGTGCGCGCGTGCCACCCTTGCGCACACCAATGATGATGGTCTGTGGCAGCTGCCGGACAGAGCCGTTGGGGGTTGTGCTCTCTGGGAGATGGTCATCCACCAGCGTGGCCGCCACACGCAGCAACTCCTGCTTGCCTGGCTGGTCAGGAGGCTCGGCGCCCGGGGTGGCAGGGCGGGAAGGCACGAGCTGCGGCTGAGCCACCAGCAGCATGGCGCCCAGGAGCAGCGCGGCCATGCTGAACACCACGGTGGCTTCAGTGGGCCGGGGTCATGAAGCACTGCCCTGTGGTGGAATGCCTCTTGTTGGTCAGTGACACATAGATGTCGCAGGCCACCGGTTACTAGGGAAGAAAGGGAGGAAAGCATTAACTCCAAATTAATACAGCACTTAGGAGCTAACTACTCTGTGGTTGTTATGTGAGGCTGACCTTTTGATCCCTGGTGTAAGCTAAGAATAAGCACTGGGCTGATAATAGCAAAGTCAGCAGTTTAAACTCACCAGTTGCTCTCAGAAATCCTAGACATGGTCACTATGAGTCGGAACCCGCACGATGGAACACAGCAATGATATTCCCTTCCCTTCACCCCTACCAATCGATTTGTCCTTATAAAGCAGAAGGTGACAAACTTAACTGTAATGGGTCAGGCAGTATGTATTTTACACTTTGTGGGACTCTGTGTCATCAATAATTTCAACATGTGACTATAGCTGGTGTTGTCATTTCCCAGGCAAGTCTATTCCAACTTATGGCAACTCCATGCTGTCTTGTAGAACGGCTCCAGAGGGTTTCCTTGGTTGCAGTCTTAATAGAAGTTCTTCCACTGGGTGGGTTTGAACCACGAATTGTGCACCGTAGTGGTTACGAATCGGGCTGCGAACCGCAAGGTCAGCAGTTCGAAACTACCAGCTATTCCGTGGGAGAAAGATGAGGCTTTCTGCTCCTGTAATGATTTATAGCCTCGGAAACCCTGTACAGGGTCGCTATGAGTCGGAACTGACTCCATGGCACATAACAACAACAAATGGTTCCAATGTTACTGTGTGCCTAATCAGAGCAATGTTAAAGGACAGGGTAGAACTACCTCCAAAGGGTTTCTAAGACTGCAATCTTTATAGACGGCCTTTTCTCCTGTAGAGCTGCTAACTAGTCATTGAGAAACTTTCAAGAGCCCTTTAACCATTAAATCTCCTATTCCTTATAGTTCTAAAGCAGCCATTAAAAACAAAACAAAACAAATAGCTGGCGTGATATAGACTCTGACTCATGGTTACGCCACGTGTGTCAGAGTGGAACTATGCTACATAAGAGTTTCAGTGACTTATTTTTAGGAAATAGATTTCCAGGACATTCTTTACACGTGCCTCTGGGTAGACTCAAATATCCAATGTTTCTGTTAGTCACCAAATGAGTTGACCATTTGTGGACTTCAAAGCAATCATAACCAATACAAACGGATGTAGCTAGGAGTCTTGGTGTAGCACTGTGGGTTAAAGTACTAGACTGCAAGATTGGTTTGAACCACAAAGTCTGTGGTTCAAACTCTCCAACCTCTTCTCGGAAATCCTATACAGGGCCACTATGAGTTGAAACCGACTCAGCGACACTTAACAACATGTTCCCATAAAACTATAAAACTTTATTGATGGACATTGAAATTTGAATTTCATATAAATGTTATAACCAAATTCTTATCCTTCTCAGTTTGTTTTCAACCAAAAAAATGTTTAGCTTTCTGTCCGTAGAAATGCAGGGCCAGATTTATTCCATAGCATTTAGTCTTCGGCAAACAGCAGTAGAAGAGCTAGTACCCCAGCCCCTGGAAGGGGGACAGTAAGATAAAGCAGACAAAGGTCCTAACCTCAAAGTCAGTCGAACTTGTGCAGAAGATCCAATGATCGGTCCTATTGTTCACCCTTCCCTGCATCCATCACTTGCTATGACCTTATTTTGTGCTTTATTGACTACGCAAAGGCTTTCAACTGTGTGGATCATGATAAGCTATGGGTAACATTGCAGAGAATGGGTATTCTAGAACCCTTTACTGTACTTATGAGGAACCTGTACATAGGTCAAGAGACAGAAGAAAACAAAATGATACTGAATGGTTTAAAATCAGCCAAGTCGTGTGCCAGAGTTGTTTATGATGAGCAAATAATATGAGGTGTTGAATTACATGAAGGAGAATGTGGCGTATCAGGATTGGAGGAAGACTCATTAACACCCTGCGGTATGCAGATGATGGATGTCTTGCTGGAAGCGAAGAGGACTTAAAACGCTTACTGATGAAGATCATACACTACCGTCTTCAATATGGATTGCACCTCAATGTAATGAAAAGTCCTCAAAAGTGGATCACTGAATAACACCATGAGAAATGGAAAAACAATTGAAGTTGTCATAGCCTTAATTTTGCTGGGATCCATTATCAACAGTTACAGAAGCCGTAGTCAACAAGTCAAATGATGTGCTGTGTTTTGTAAATCTGTTGCACATGACCTCTTTAAAGTGTTCAAGAATGAAGTTTGAGGACCAAGCTCAGCCTGACCCAAACCATGGTATTTTCCATAACCTCATATGCATGTGAAAGTTGGACCATGAATAAAGAAGACCTTAGAATAACTGATACATTTGAGTCACGGTGTTATAAAAGAATTTTAAAGGTACCATGGACCACTAGAAATGCAAACAAATCTGTCTTGGAAGAGCCAGAATGCTCCTGAGATGTCAGGATGGTTAGACTTCATCTTTGATACTTCAGACATGATCAGGAGGGACCAGTTCCTGGAGAAGGACTCCATAATGGAACATTAACATGGCCAAGGTCCACAGATGCAAGCTGAATGCCAACATCAGTGTGGTAGAGGTGATGATGGGAGTTCATTTTGCCTAGGGAAGAAGAACCTTCATGTGTACAAAGCTTTAACATTTATTTACAAAGTGGCCTCACAGTTGGCTCAGCTGATCCTCACCACAGCTCTGTAAGATAAGGTGACAGGTGAGGTGTCATAATCACTTTAGAGATGAGTCAGTCCTTGCCTTGCCCCTAAACACAAAAACCAAATCAATGGCAGAATTCACATCCAAAACTCTAAATGCAAGACTCTCTTGCCATAAATGGCCTGCCCTGTTCCACACTAGTCATCACCTGTCTGAGACTGATTCCATTTAGATGTTCCAGTTGCAGCCACAGCCCTTCCCTCACAACCTCCATGCCTCCTCACTCATCCCCATGCTCCCCTGTCCAACCAAAGCCCCCTACCCCCAGTCACTTCTGCTGCCCCCTGTCATGTGAGTGTTGGTCCTTGGAGTGAGTGAGCCTGGCTACCCTCCCTTCCTGACCCTTGCAGTGGCGGCCCTGCTCCAGTTAAGAGTCCTTGGCCAGGTCAGGATGGAGCTGAGGAGAAAGCGGTCACCCTGCTCCACACCTCAGTGACCTCAGGCTCTAGTCTCTGGCTTTGGAGAGGGGCCCTGGAGATGGAACACCCCAGGGACAGGATTGAACCCTGTGGACCTTAACCTCCCCAACCTTGGGGAGAGGCAGCGTCCTCAGAAAGCCTGTAAAGGTGACCAAGGGGCCAAGCCCCTGTGGAGACTGGGGGGCTTGAAACTGTCCCTGTGGTCCCTTCCCCTCCCTTTCCTACTCTTGCCCAGGGTGGTCTTAGGAAGCAGGGGCTGTAAGAAAGAACCCGAAGGTGTTGGATGTGGGAGCAGGAGATTCAGAAGGAGAGAGGGTGGATGAGATGCTGGGGAGGAGAGGCAGAGAGCGGTCTCAGGCAGTGGGAGGGCACCTGCCCATCCCTATGCCAGGCTCTGGTCAGAAACAATAAAAAGGCACAAACCTGAAAAAAAAAAAAGAAAAAAAAAGAAGCTGTTTATACATGGTTCCCAAAGACAAATGAATCACGTTCTATGTTTTTAAGGAGATGACAAACAACAACATGCATCTGACACTGTCCTCAAAAAAAGAAGAGAACTGGAGCTATTTAAACAGTGGTTCCTGTTTAAACCCACCCAGAAAAGGGTTAGAAACCGGATGGCTTGGGGATTGCCGGGGTTTGCCCTCGACATAGTTGTCACGAGTGTTTGGTTCACGAGGAGGGGAGATCCAGCGGCGATAGGGATAGTGAAAGAATACACAGACAAACAGAAGAAGGGAGACAATGAGGCACCCCAAAGCCAGGGTGGATACATCACTGGTGGGCAGGCTTGGGACTGCAAGCATCATGGCCTCTGCAGGCAGCAACTCACTGCCCTGCAATCTTTACTGCATGCCTTCCAACCAGTAATGCACCGCAATCTTTACTCCATGCCTTCCAACCAGTAATGCACATCTGGGGAGGCCCGGGCCTCTGCTTTATTTAGGGGAGGAGCTTCACACCTAGCTGGGAGGGACTTAGGCAAGGTACAGCTAACATCAGTACTTTTCCAGACATTCAGATAACTTTACATCATACTTCACTGGTTCGAATCCCAGGCCAGCAACTTTGATTCTCAGGCCCAATTAACCTATCTATAGCCCCTGAGGTCAGTTGGGGGAAGGTGAGAGTTCTGCAGGAGATGCCCAGGTGAATGGGCTACACCTGGAAAAGGGATTAGGGAGGATGGGTTCTTTGTCTATAGAACAAAGAACCGAGAAGTAGCTAAAATATTTTTAGTTAATCCTTTTGGAGAAAGGCTTGACCTTGCAACCTTTAGTCTTAGCTTTAGGAAAATATCACATTTATCTGTGGATTACCAAGAGCTCCGTGTATTAAATTAATACATGTAATAATATTAAGATGAAAGCAATTTGCCATTAACTGCCAGTGGCCTCATTTGTTACACTCGGGCCTATAGGGCCTCGAACCTCTGACCAGTCTTACACGGTCCGCAACAGGGGATTATATGTTAAGTGCTGCTGAGTCAATTTCAACTCATAATGACCCTGTATAGGGATTCCAAAGAGCAGCTGGTGGGTTTGAACTACTGACCTTGCAGTTAGTGGTTTAGTGCTTATCCTATCATGCCACAGAAGGACTCCATGGGATTTATAAAGCCAGTGAAAATTTTCTCCACCCATTTCACTCCAGGTAGGTTTACAAATCACTTCATTGGTTTCAAACATGTCCAAGGATGTATAAATGAAGAAGAATCCCAGGGCTCTCAGTTTTATGATTACTCAGGTTAATCATGTTTCCTCTGAGAATAACAGTGTGAGCTGCTTTGACAATGTGCATTAAGGAGCAAGTAATCA